TAATGGCCGACTTCCAGTATTTTGTTCTACCCACTAAACTGTACTCTCTCCATTTCTCCTTGAAACAATGCCCCTTGAGGAACACACTTTTGAATGGCTTAATGAAAGGCCATTTGTTCTATAAAATTTAAAGACTGCATTTAGCGGTCTGCGTAATAAACAGGCTTGATAGTATTCTGATTTTAAAATGTTTTTAATAAGACTTGCATTTTTACGAACAGCAATCGCCAGCAAAGCAGGTCTGATCTAAATCTGAACATGGGATTTCTTTCATTTAACATCAGTAACATTCATTAAGGGAACCCTGGCCCAGCAGGTCAGTGCCTGCCTCTCCCTTAACCTGCCCCACTCCTGAGCCAGGCGCTGCAGGCTGGTGCCTTCCCAGCCCCAAGAGTGCAGCTTGCCCCACTTCAGTTAGCAGAATGCCTTTCCCAGCCGGGGCCGCTGCTGCCTGACATGTGGCTGCAGCCCTGGCCACCACCACCCCACATCAGGGAACAGCCTCGCTCTGCCACATGGCTCGCCCCCCTGAACAGCCCCACAGAGCAGGAATTGGGACTGTGGTGACGCTGCCCCAGCAGGGACAGCCTCACCATGGTCTGGCTCCAGCTACAGCACACAGGGCAGCCAGGCCGCATGGTGTTCTGCTGAGCAGGAACCCGCTACTCACCTTCCAGCAGGTAAGTGAGTGGTGAGTGTTGCTGTGCAGCTCTACAAATGAGATGGGAGGGCCCAGAACTGAGCACAGCCTAGCACCTTAGGGAGAACTATGCTGGTGACTTATCAGGAAGGTGAAAGCGCAATTGGAATTGCAGCTAGCAAGGGACGTGAAGGGTAACAGGAAAGGCATGGGGACATTACTGGATGAGGGAGGTAACCTAGTGACAGATATGGAAAAAGCTGAAGTACTCAATGCTTTCTTTGCCTCTGTCTTCACCTCTGTTTTCACAGACATGGTCAGCTCCCAGACTAATGCACTAGGCAACACAGTATGTGAAGGAGGTGGGCAGCCCTTGTTGAAGAACGAACAGGTTAGAAACTATTTAGAAAACCTAAAAGTATATAAATCCATGGGCCTGGATTTAATGCATCCGAGGGTACCAAGGAAGTTGGTAAATGTCATTGCGGAGTCTTCGGCCATTATGTTTGAAAACTCGTGGAGATCGGGAGAGATCCCAGATGATTGGAAAGAGGCAAATGTAGTGCCGATCTTTAAAAAAGGGAAGGACAATGCAGGGAACTACAGACCAGTCAGCCTTACCTCAGTCCCCAGAAAAATCATGGAGGGGATCTTCAAGGAATCCATTTTGAAGCACTTGGAAGAGGGGAAGTGATCAGGAATAGTCAACATGGATTCACCCAGGGCAAGTCGTGCCTGACCAATCTGGTTAGCTTCTATGAGGAGATAACTGGCTCTGTAGATATGGGAAAGTCAGTGGATGTGAAATACCTTGACTTTAGCAAAGCTTTTGATATTCTTGCCTGCAAGTTAAGGAAGTATGGATCGGATACATAGACTAAGGTGGAGAGAAAGCTGGCTAAATTGACAGGCTCAACAGGTAGTGATCAACAGCTCGATGTCAGGTTGACGGTTTGTTTCTAGTGGAATGCGCCAGGGGTCAGTTCTAGGGCCAATTTTGGTCAACATCTTTATTAATGACCTGGATAAGGAGATGGATTGCACCCTCAGCAAGTTTGCAGATGACACTAACCTAGGGGGAGAGGTAGATATGCTGGAGGGCAGGGATAGGGTCCAGAGTGACCTGGACAGATTAGAGGATTGGGCCAAAAGAAATCTGATGAGGTTCAATGAGGACAGGTATAGAGTCCTACACTTGGGACAGAAGAGTCCCAAGCATTGTTATAGGCTGGGGACCGAATGGCTAAGTAGCAGTTCTGCAGAAAAGGACCTGGGGGTTACAGTGGTTGAGAAGCTGGAGAGGAGTCAACTGTGTGCCCTTGTAGCCAAGAGGGCTAATGGCATATTGGGTTGCATTAGGAGGAGCATTGCCAGCAGATCTAGAGAAATGATTATTCCCCTTTATTTGGCTCTGGTGAGGCCACATCTGGAGTATTGTTTCCAGTTCTGGGCCCCCCACTATAGAAAGGATGTGGACGCACTGGAGAGGGTCCAGCGGAGGGCAACGAAAATGTTTAGGGGGCTGAAGCGCATGACCTATAAGGAGAGACTGATGGATTTGTTTAGTCTGCAGAAGAGAAGAGTGAGGGGGGTTTAATAGCAGCCTTCTAATTCCTAAAGGGAGGTTCCAAAAAAGATGGAGAGAGGCTGTTCGCAATCATGACGGATGGCAGAACAAGAAGCAATGGTCTGAAGTTCCAGTGGGAGAGGTCTAGATTGGATAGTAGGAAAAACTATTTCACTAGTAGGGTGGTAAAGCACTGGAATGGGTTACCTAAGCGCATGACCTATAAGGAGAGACTGATGGATTTGTTTAGTCTGCAGAAGAGAAGAGTGAGGGGGGTTTAATAGCAGCCTTCTAATTCCTAAAGGGAGGTTCCAAAAAAGATGGAGAGAGGCTGTTCGCAATCATGACGGATGGCAGAACAAGAAGCAATGGTCTGAAGTTCCAGTGGGAGAGGTCTAGATTGGATAGTAGGAAAAACTATTTCACTAGTAGGGTGGTAAAGCACTGGAATGGGTTACCTAGAGAAGTAGTGGAGTCTCCATCCCTAGAGGTGTTTAAGTATCGGCTTGACAAAGCCCTGGCTGGGTTGATTTAGTTGGGATGGTCCTGCCTTGGGGAGGGGACTGGACTTGATGACCTTCTGAGGTCTCTTTCCAGCTCTACGGTTCTCTGAACTACAAGGTCCAAGCTGTCCTGAAGTGTATGGGGGAGGACTAGTCACGATTGTAGGGGTGTGAGCCTCAGTCTGGCATGACTGACTAGGCCAGAACCAGGGACGTCCCTCTGACTCTGGGCTGCACGCACAGGTACATTTCAAAGCCATGGAGCCTGGGATTAGCGATGGACTCCACAGATGACCTGGGGTTCTGGGGAAATGCTGCGCAGAGCCACCCAGGATCAGCTGGAGTCCCTAGCTGACCCCGGGCTCCACAGTGCTGCCCCCTTTGAAATGCTGCCTCCATGTTTCAAAGGGGCCACGCAGCACCTAGGGTCCTGGGCTCTGCCCGGCATTTCTATGGAACCTGGAATCAGTTGAGGACTCCACAGCTAGATCCCGGTTCCGCGCAGCATTTCCCCAGAACCCGGGGTCAGCAGGGGGACTCCCCACTTCATCTCGGGTTCTGCAGAAATTCCTCCTGGAGCCTGGGATCAGCTAGACCCCAGCTGACCCGGAAATGCCGCTCAGAGCCTGGGGTTAGCTGGGGAGTCCCCTGCTTATCTATGCAGCACTGCCACTTTGAAGTACACCCTCCCCTCTCTCCTTTCCATCTCAGAGGCAGCAAGAGAGTAATCAACTAGTTGACTAGTCCTTAACATCCCTACTCCCCAATGCTCTGTGCCTTTTGAGTGGCACTGGAGAAGAGCAATGTCATGGCTCTCCCTCTCACGCTGGTGACAGACTTCCAGTACCAGGGTTCTTTAGCAGAGTCCTTCCATTGCACAGTCTTGGGCATTGATGACAGATGCTCCAGACCAAGCTCAAGACCAGGCGGTCCAGTGCCGCAGGTTTTAGCACAGCCTCCACCAGGAGCTGCTTCCAGGTGGGATTCTCTTTTTTAATGTGCAGCTGAAAAGCCTTGCAAATCCTACAGCACTCACATGGATGGGTTTCCCCCAGACACCTCAGGCAGCAGTAGTGGGGGTGGGGGTCAGTCACTATTTGATATAGGCTTATGGCAGTCAGGTAAACTGTAAACCCCTATGCTTGTGGCATGTCCTGCAGCCCCAGGCAGGTGGATGGGACGATAATCCAGAACACAACAACTAACTACACCTGGGAACTGAAAAAATAAAATAAAATTGCAATAACTAAGGGAGCAATTGCATGCAAGTGAACACTGTTCCAATGCCACCATGGCCAGCAAAAAGGAACTGAAGTGTGTGTGGGGGCAGGAGGCGGGAGGTGTCAGGTTGATAGGGTCGTATAGTGAGTGTCTTGAAGGTGCCACTCCAGAGGCTGCCCAGCTGGGCCCAACAGAGACCGCTAAGGGCAAACAGTTCCCAACACCCGTGCATGCAGCGCGCACACCTGCTTGGAACAGATATGAACAAGCACTGGAAAAAGAATCTAACTGATTTCAATATTATATGAACAAAAACTAGAAAACTGAAGTGAGTCATAACATGTACAACGGCCTTCAATAAAAATACCAAACCAGAATGTCTGAGTAACATTCTGATGTTCAGTATTTAATTACATACAAGTATTATGCCTACTGCAATTTTATTTTTTATTTGTACAAATCTAATTTCATTTGCAAACCACAACTTGAATACATAGCTAAGCGCACTGTGGTGTGCATTAATGAAACAGTCTTAAAAACAGAAAATGCCTTAAATTAGTACTAAACTATTTTTTGCTGTGGTTGTGCAAACCATGATTTTACCAGGTAAAGCCACCTCTGGTAAAGACTTATGCTACCCCTGCAACTGGCTGCTTCCTTACCAAGCTGGAATAGTTCCAGAGAGAGAAGCATAGATTAAGCTAGCTCTGCCTGAGCCTAGGGGAAACATACAGCAAAGGATGGGTCTTCTCCTCACACAGAGGTGGGCAAAAAGGGCAGAAAGCCAACAGACAGTGACACCCCCCCACCCACCCCAGTTCTCTGCCATTGGATATTTCCTAAGCTGAGTGAATTCCCAGCATAGTACTTTCTGCAGTGGTTCCTTCTCCATTCGCATCACCAGAGCATGCAAAGAGTGGAGCAAGGCAGAAAACCTGCCCCCAAATACTGTTTGCAATCCCTTGATCTTGCTGAAATACAGCCGATTTTCAAGCCAAAAAGATTAGATACCACTGCACTATACATTGTTTTCCCTGGAAACAGAGCTTTGCCCCTTCCCAAGCAGTACCTCTCCATCCAAGTGATGCAGTAGGACACTCATGTTTGACAGCACTATTGCTGGGATTTGTTCAGCTAGTTCTGAGAGAAAGGTAGCATAGCCCTTCACTCCGGAAGCATCCCGAGCCAGATCCTGGGGACACTTTTGTCCAATCTCCCTACATAAAGAAAGACTTGGTGTCAAAAGCTAGTGAGACTGGAGGGGACAGGGGTTTGGAGAATGTCTCACCTCAACAGCTCTCCCACCATGCTCTTCATGCCATACTCTGTGGCCCACAGGCTGACAGCCCCTGCAAATACTGGGGCTACATGTTCAAAGTGCTGCAACATCTGTGTGATCTTCAGAGTTGCACCTGCCAAACCAAAGGAGGGGGGAAAAGGGTCAGAGGATACATAAGAAGGACCCACATCAGGAAGGGGAGGTGATGGACTCACTGAGCATGTGGTCATAGTGAGTCAGAGCCACAGCAAGCAAATGCATTACTGCCTCCCGTGTGGCCCGATGCTTTTGGTGGCTGATGCTGGGCTTCTCCAGAATGCGGTAACAGTTGCTAGTCACTAAGCTGAAAGGAAAATAGGGAGAGATAAGGAGCCCTGGCACGGCAATCTGACAACCCCAGCCACAAGGTATGAACTGGTAGAGCCTCAGTTTC